CCCCAATCCCAACCCAATTCCCCAGTTCCCATTCCCCATCCCCTGTTCCCAATCCCCCAATCCCAATCCCATTCCCCTATTCCTGTCCCATTCCCCATTCCCATTCTCTCATTCCCAATCCCGATGCCCACCCTGCGTGTGCCACGCTGGTGCTGTGCCCGCGCCTGCCGCAGGTGCCACCAGGGCCTGGCTCGTGTCCCCTTGCCCACGTAGAACACGGCGGTGACAAAATCCCGGAAACGCTGGGCAGGGCTGAGCCCGGGGCTACGCCGGGGCAGGTCCCGGGTGACCCTGGGGACATGAGGGTGGCACTGGGGTGACACTGGGGGTGGCAGGGCTGAGCCCGGGGCTGCGCCGGGGCAGGTCCCGGGTGACCCTGGGGACAGGGAGGTGGCACTGGGGACACGGGGGTGGCACTGGGGTGGCACAGGGCAGGTCCTGAGTCACCCTGGGGACACGGGTGTGGCTCTGGGGACACGGGGGTGGCACAGGGGTGGCACGGGGCGGGTCCTGGGTCACCGTGGGGGACACGGGGGTGTTACTGGGGTGTCACAAGGTGGCACAGGGATGACACAGGGGTGGCACAGGGTGTCCAGGGTGGCCCAGGGCAGGTCCTGGGTCACCCTGGGGACACAGGGGTGGCACTGGGGTGGCCCACCTGGGGTCCAGCAGCAGGTAGTTGAAGCTGATCTTGAGCCGCCCCTCCCGCCCGTCCCGGCCGCTCTCGAAGTGCCGGCTCAGTGCCAGCTCGTCCTGGGCACAGTCGGGGACGTGCCCGGTCTTGAGCGCGGCCACCAGCTCCGGGCTGTGCCCTGCGGGGCAGTGCCAGCCCTGGGCACTCGGGGCATCCCCTGTGCCCGGCAGAGTGGCCACAAAATCCCAATGTCCGTCACCATGGCACCAAAATCTCAGCACAGCCCCCCAAAACCCCAGTGCCCAACCCCACAACCCCTAAACCCCAAAACCTCAGCGCCCATTCCCCTGACCCCAAATTCCCCATTCCCATCCCTACAACCCCCAAATTCCCCATTCCCATTCCCCAAACCCTCCCATTCCTATCCCGCTGACCCCAAACCCCCCTGGTCCAGCTCCAATCCATCCCCCTGACCCCAAACCACCAATCCCATCCCCCTGACCCCAAATTTCCCCATTTCCATCTCCCTGACCCCAAATTCCCCATTCCCATCCCCAAACCCCCAATCCATCCCCCTGACCCCAAAACCCCGGACTCACCCTCGGGCCACCCCCGCGGCAGAGCGGTGACAGCGCCGGGATTGTCCCCAAGCTCCGTCTGCGACGGCGACGCGCGGCCACCGCGCCTGGTGTCACCCCCGGGGCTCGTGGTGACATCTGTGCCACCCCCGGGGCTGCCACCAGGGCTGTGATACTCGCGGGGTGCCTGGGCTTGTGTCACGTCCTCTTGGTGGCACTGGGAGAGCGGGGTGGCACAGCCGGGTGACAGTGGCACCGAGGGTATCCCCAAATCGCCATCAGGTGACAGTGGCACCGAGGGTGTCCCCAAATCGCCATCGGGTGACAGTGGCACCGAGAGTGTCCCCAAGTCGCCATCGGGTGGCAGTGACACCGAGAGTGTCCCCAAGTCCCTGCTGGCACTGCCCGGTGGCCGCGGGGCCAGGAGGTGCCTGAGGACCCGCTGGGACCGGGATGTCCCCAAGGGCGAGTGGCGCTGCCACCCAGCGCCACCCTCGGTCCTGGTGGCACTGGGGGAACCCCGAGTGACCGACGGGGACTTCTGGGGGTGTCCCTTGTCCCTAAATCCCCTGGGACAGGACCCTGAGCAGTTCTGGGGGTGTCCCTTGTCCCTAAATCCCCCGGGACAGGACCCTGAGCAGTTCTGGGGGTGTCCCGTGTCCCCAAATCCCCTGGGACAGGACCCTGAGCAGTTCTGGGGGTGTCCCTTGTCCCCAAACCCCCTGGGACACGACCCTGAGCAGTTCTGGGGGTGTCCCTTGTCCCCAAATCCCCGCAGGACCCTGAGCCCGGATTTGGGGGCGCTGCCACCCCCTGGGGACAACCCGGTGTCACCCCAAGAGCCGCCGGACACGTCCCTGTCCCCTGGGGTGACACAGCGGCCCGGGGGGGAGGTGACAGCGACACCGGGGGGTCTTGGGGACATCGGGAGGATCTCGGGGTGGAGGGAGGAGGAGGAAGAGCAGAAGCGGAGCCGAGCTGCCACCCCCCGCAGGCGGCTCCTGCTCCGGGGGGTGACGTGGCGGTCCCCAAAATTGTCGCAGCCCCGGGGGGTGACAGGACTGGGACAGCAGCGCGGGGACCCCTCGAGGCTGCACCCCCCGAGCGGGGCAAGGAGCGCCCCGACATCCGAGCAGGACTCGGGGATTTGGGGGGCGGCTCCGGAGCGCAAATCCTGCCCCAAACCCAAATCCTGCCCCAAACCCAAACCCTGCCCCAAATTCCGCCCCAAACCCAAATCCTGCCCCAAATCCTGCCCCAAATTCCGCCCCAAATCCTGTCCCGAACCCAAATCCAGCCCCAAATTCCACCCCAAACTTTTCCCCACATCCCGCCCCAAATCCTGGGGCGCTGCCCCCCCCACGGGACCCCCGGGCTGAGCCCCCCCGGCCCCGCTGGCCCCCAGGGACTCGCGGGCGCTGACGAAGCTGTCGCTGCTGTCGCTGCTGTCCCCAAGGCTGCCGCTGTCCCCATCCCCCAGCTCTGTCACCCCCGTGTTGGGGACAGCCCCTCCCCACCCCCCGGGGATGTCACCCGCGATGTCACCGGAGCTCCGAGGTGACACCGAGGGGCTGCCGAAGCCACCGCGGGCCAGGGGGGACCTTGGGGACATCGCGTGTGTCCCCAAGATCCCGCCTTGGTGCCGCCTCAGCGACACACCCGGAGCGACACGGGGACAGGGGACAGGGATGTCACCAAGGCTGGGCTTGAGGGCACATCCTGTCCTTGTCCCCAAAGTGCCACTCGGGGGTGGCACCTGGGGATGGTCCCGGTCCCAGAGCAGCGTGCTGGAGGCCAGGGGTGGCAGGGGGACAGCGGTGTCGCCGTGTGGCTCTTGGGGACACCGCGAGGGGACAGCGCTGTCCCCCGGCTCGTCCAGGAGGGACCTGCGGGTGCTGCTCAGGGGTCCGGCCTCGGGAATGTCCCCAAGGGCCACCCAGGTGTCGCTGTCATCGCTGCCATCCTCGGTCAGGAAGGACAGAGCCCTCCGGGGCCACCCCGGCTCTGGGGACACAGATCGGGGTCACCCCCCCGGCTCAGCCCCCCCCCGATTGTCCCCAATGGGGAGGGGACACCTTGGGGACCTCACCCTGGGTTGGGCTCTGGTTCCTCTCCAGCGCCAGCGGCTCCTGCGGGGAGGGGACAGCGCTGTCACCGCTGCCACCACGGGGTGGCACAGCTGTCCCCGTCCCCTATTCCAGGGTTGTCGCTGTCCCCAGCGCTGTCCCTATCCCCCATTCCGGGATTGTCGCTGTCCCCATTCCGGGATTGTCGCCGTCCCCCCTCACCTGTCCCCGCCGCACGAGCCCGAGGCAGCGGTGACACCCCCAGTCCAGCGGTGGCTTCTCCCGGGCACATCTGGGGGGGTGGCACCGGGACAGGGTCACCCCCAGGGCAGTGCCACCAGCAGCGCTGGGGACATCGCGGGTCCCCTCCTGGTCCCGGTGCCACCCCCGGTGCCACCCCCGGTGCCAGGGTCCCCTGGGCAGCGCTGGTGTCCCCCAAGGTCGCATTGTGTCCCCGCCACGGTCCCGGTGTCCCCCAGGCCCAGTGTCCCCCTCCCTGGATCCCGGGATCCCGATATCCCAGGATCCCTATCGCGATATCCCAG